GATGTATTTTATTAAAAAAAAATACAAACATACAGTTAGAGCTTAATCGTACAACCAACTACAACAGCCACACGACCGAAGAAGCAGTTACACTGCTGAATCTAACAAGGAGAATTACTTTTTCTTGCTAGATTTTAAATGGAATGATATGTAATTTTGGAATCAACGGAGTGACGGACAAAAGCAAGGAAAACGAAAAAGAAAATCTACGGCTAAGAATTGCGAGTGCAGATGCTCGAACCTACGACCCACCACACACACCAGTCACAGCGCTGTGCGCTAGCCCAAAAGAACCCAAATGAATTTCTGAAATTCCCGATTTTCCCAAACCCCAAACTCTCACACTCTTCTTCTGGCTCATGTCAATTCGATAATTTGAAGCCAGTTGTGAAGAAGCTTGCGGAGTTTATCTGATTTCAGTTTTAGGAGAATTAGATAGATATAGAGAAAGCTAGGGAAAAGGGGATGTCTTTAACTGGTGTGAAGATGTCGGAGGATGTGTGGTTGACATGTCTGACCCATGCATTGTCCACCGAGACTGAGGAGATCATGGGCCTTCTTCTTGGTGATATTCAGGTTCTAAGATTCTCATTTTCTTTTTTATTTTTGTTAGCACCATTTCAATTTGTATACGCTCCGAAAATCAATATTTTGTGGGCTTTCTTTATTTGTTTCTCTTCCTGTTCTTTGAGAGAAAGAGAGTTTTTGATGGTTGCTAAGTACTTATAGTTTCATCTTGCTGCTGATTAAAATTTATTTAAGATGGGATGCCTTTTCTGTGACATTGATCTTCGCCAGTCATCTATTATCCTTTCTGATTACTCAACTCCATTGTAATGTGTATCTCTAAGTAAAGATACATGGCTTCACACTGTTACGAAAGTTTGTATTGTTATTCTTTTCTGGTTTTGCTAATTTTGGATGGAAAAAAGAAATTTGGAATCTTACGATGGAATTTCTAGATTGTACTTTTAAAATCTGAGCAACTTATGAAATGTATGTACAAGGAAGTGTTATCGAGTGTTTCGGTCTCTTTGAAAAGGGTTATTTCGAATTTTTATGTATTCTGAAATCATTGCTTTACAGCTAAAATAGGATTTGAAGTGAATTATGAGTTAGTTGTATATGTACTTGTACTGAAGTTGTTCATGATGATTTGTGTTAACTCTCATCCAATGTGTTCTGCGGTAAATATGCCACTCTATTTTGCCTTTAGATTCTGCTAATATCTCTTTGGATTTGGTTTTTGAAGATCTGTGTCGATCTCATTTGCGAAGATGTCGCTTATTTGTGGAATTACTACTTTATTTTCTGATTCACTTCATATATAATTTGTTGTTATTATTCTTAAATTTTTTTTTCAGCTTTCGAAAAATGGTAATGTTACTGCCTTGATTTGGGGTGCACTTCCCCAACCACGTTCTGATAGACAAAAAGATAGAGTCGAGACTAATCCCGAGCAGCTAACTGCAGCCTCAGTTGATGCCGAGATATCCTTTTCTGGGGCATTGTTTAATCTTTTTCACATAAGCATCCTGTTTAAAAATTTGGGCATGAAATGAGTGAAACAAGAGTTTATAGAACTAGTTTCTTATGTGAGCTCTATAAGCTGCATATGTATTGCAAAAAAACTTTTCTTTGAAGTGACTTGTAGCTCAGAAGAATAATGCTTTCACAGTGTGGCTATTCAAAATATGTTTTTGGCTGATTAAAATTTTAAATTTCGGATTAAAGGGAAAAATGGCTTTTTGAATTTGTTATGCTAACAAGTACATAAACTTATTAAACAATTTCTTCGAACCCGATCTCGCAGTTAAAATTTTGGCTTTTGCTCCTGCCGATCACATCCATGCAGACAACTTTTGTATATAAAAACTGATATCTTGACATATGTCCCTATTCCTTACATATTTCGTTAAATTTATGGCCAAGTGAATTTGTTCAATTAACTCAATCACACAGAATGACGATTGCAACGGGGACTACAACTAGAGTGATTGGGTGGTATCACTCACATCCTCATATTACTGTCCTCCCATCTCATGTTGGTGAGTTTTTTGGTGTGTCTATGTCCATTGGGTAATTATTTGTACATTAATGATTATTTTTCTCTGACTACGTTGTGCTTTATATTATGTTATTAAGAAAAGCAAAAAGCGTTCAACAAACTCAATTTGATGAATTGCGTAGAAGATTATACGTGTCCAACATTATTTTTCTGTTCCTTTTGCAGTTCATTTCTTTATTATATTACTGTAGTGATTTAGTATGGTAGTTTTTCTTTGTTTGATGCAAGGGTATTTACTTGTCTAACGTGAAAGCCTTTCATGATGTCGACTCTTAATCATAATGGTTCCATTGTTTGGACAAGCATTTGTTCGTTATTATAGATATTGTTTGTTATTCCTATCAGAATATTTAGTATTGGTTATGGAACTGTGATGCTCCTCTTGTTGGATCCTTCTAGATGTACGGACTCAGGCAATGTACCAGCTATTGGATTCTGGTTTTATTGGATTGATATTTTCCTGTTTTAGTGAAGATTCACAAAAGGTTAGTACTGATTTGAAAGGTTGTCTTTGAGAGACAATATTCATTATTTTTTCTTCTTAAAATAAATTCTTAAGTTGTTTTCAATCTGCCATAGGTTGGAAGGATTCAAGTCATTGCATTTCAATCTTTAGAGGGGAAGCAGACGATGAGACCTGTTTCTCTTTCACCTGTACAAAAAAGTCCTATTATAGAACTTGAATCGTCTGTAAGCTCCTCAGACAACAACATGGGTATGTTTGGCTTTTCAAAAGGAGAAAACCTGGAACAAGACACTGGAGATTCAGGTTATAAGGTAGGATCCCATCAAGACAAGATTTTAGATTGCCTTGTGTTTCTGCAGCTTTTATATATGATAAGGTTTTTTGTCCTTTTTTTTCCCTGGTTCATTTCCAGTTTCATTATTTTCCGTTTAGTTTTCGAGCATGTGTTGATTTTTATGTGAAAAAATAAGAAATTTGGTTGAGTTTGGTTTTATGCATAGAAACTCTATAATTTCAAAAAATTTAAAATAATCTGTATGCATAAGCGGTTGGCCGTATTGGTACTAAAAAATGTAAGATAATGAATAAGTTAAAGACAAGAGAAGCATGTACCCACCTATTCTGATTATAATTCGTTTTTTCTGTCTGTTTCTTTTGCCTCTTGAATTAGATGCACTGACTGAGCATTGGTTTTTGAAGCTTTTAACATTATATGTTAGAAGTCTGTGAAACTGAGTTAAAGAAACATGCATTATTGTTTCTTTTTCTTTGAATAATATAAACACAAGAAAACCAAGTCTGTTTACTTGACTGCTGAGATATTCTCAATGTGCTTGTTTGGCTAGGTCGCTGGAAAATCACCACGCTTGGGAGGCTTTTTGGTGAATGCAAATAGTAATAATTCTAAAACTGGAAATAATTACAAGGACAACAGTTTAGGTCATGCAATTCAAGATTTGGACCCAATGGATATGTCAGATGGTATGCAAGAGGCGATGCATCTTTCAAACTTGGAAGTGAGGTAATGTGAGTATGTGCTCTTAAAATCACTACATGATTCTTGTATGGAGAGTTAGACAGTTAAAAGAAGAAACACAAATAGGAAAATAAACACAAATATTATAAGGGACCTCCGTANGTTCATTACGGGGATGATTTATGGCACATATGATACTTCATAAAGAAAAAGAAAAAGAGATGGAAAATATTATGGGTAATGACTTGGGCCGCGTTTTAATTTCTGAGATGAAGTTATGAGATGTTTGGTAATGGAACTGATTAGCAATAGTATTTGTAATTTTTTTATTTAAACTTCATCTTTAGGTCTTTACTGGTCCGATCTCGTTATTATTATATTCTCATTCCTTTTGCTTACCTTCAAATTTTATTTCCTCACTGCATTTGCTTTTATTGTACATGCATTTCTAGTCGTGAAACTTTAAAGTGCTCTATTTTAAATTTATTGATGCCAGTGGGGCCCAATTTGTCCGTAAGGAGATTCCACTTTATGTTGTGCCTACATCAGCCCTTCTCAAACTAGATTCTCCTCTCTCATCCTTTACAAGCCTTCAGCGTATGCTCTTTGAAGAGGAAAAGACTGCATATGACGAAGCAATGGCGCAAAATACAAGGTGACGTTATGACGGGAAAATTGTTAATTTTATCAAATATTCCATTTTTTCTCGAGATTTTCTGTTGTGGGTTGTAATGATTTTTTTGACGGGTCTTCAGAGACGGAAAAGTTCATCCTCTTTCTTTCATTCATCATGCATCCACCTACAAGGCTTCCATGTGCAAGATGATCGAATTTTGGTAAATAATAAAATAGTTATCTCAACTTTTAGCTGTATCGAAATATTGCATCTAGGTCACAATTGGCATCTTGTGATTGCAGCTTGAATCCTGCCATGAGTTCTCTTCAAGATCGCCTTAGAGAAAATGAAGTTAAGGTAGGCTTTGTCCGTTTTTACATCTGTGTGTCCTTGTAGTGGCACCTTTGGTCAATTGCAGACAAATTTGGGTTTATTGTCAAAACCGTCCCTGGCATTTAGCTTAATTACAAAAGGCCTTATTATTTGTCAAAATGACATATATCCATTGATTTTTATTGATCTCTTGCAAATTTCATCCTCGGCATTAAATACAGATTTCTAGGCGAATGGAGGTTTTTTTATTATCCTTTTTTGTTAGTAGGGCAATATTTTTTAGGATAATTTTGCAACAACTCAGATATATTTTCCAATCTACCGATTTCTTATTTTCTTTCCCTTCTATAACTTACAGTCATGATATATCTTGTAATTACCTGTTTCACTTAATATATATATTTATTTTTTTTCCTATTACTTGAAACAGTTAAAACTTCTTGCCCAAGAAGCCAATGGTTTGGAATTGGAGCTATTAAGTGGTGGTCCCTCAAATTCCTCTCCACGTTCTCCATCTCAAGGGCTTAGAAGTATCTCGAGTGGCAGCCGAGCAAAACGATGATAAGTACTTTTGTTTACCAAACACTCCCTTTGAGAAGCTTTTTATCTCCTGTTGTAGAATCTTGGAGATGGTATTGTTATGCTCTTTATTTTTGCTCACCCTTTCTTCTTGGTTTGTATACTTTTGTCATCCTCATTTGTAGTATTATTTTGGTCTGGCATTAACATGCTTGGATATAAAAAGTTTTTGTTTTGATTGGATTTTTGGTTTGGATTGGTTAAATTTGAAAAGGTTGGTATGGTTAGTTGTTAGTGGGTATATTAAAATAATATTTAAAATAAAATAATTAAAATTAAATTGATGTAAAACTAGGAGAGAGAAGATGTGATGTGATGGTTAGTTAAAATTATGTGAGTTAATGAAAGACTAGTACGTAACTCGTGCGATGCACGGGATGTAAAATTTGGAAGAATAATATAATCTCAATTGCATTAGGATCGAAATTGAAATCATTAAAATACATAGGAACATTGTTGAATCATAAAAAGTTCGGTAACAATCATATATTATTAAAAACCTACTTGTACACAACACTATGAGTTTGATTATTTGGTAACTCCTCATTATCACAAACTAATATTTTCAACCCCCTTCTATTATTTACACGTGAAACAGCAACATATAATTGGTCGTGACTAAAAACGGGTTTCTTCAGGAAAAGACCAACGTGCGATAAAAAAAGTGTTTTTAAAAATTGAAAAGTCAAGGCAATCAGTTCAGATTAATTAAAAGTCAAAGAATATCCGCTCCTTGAAATAAAGACGTGTGCTATCATTAACCAAATATCTCGAAATTTTTAGTTTGAGACTAACCGTTAGCTAACTACTTAAGAAAATCTTACTGATTTTACTTCGACATTTAATTTAATTATCATATCTTATTTAAAGATTTCAACTAATTTATTTGATCTTATGCTCGAGTGCAGGTGGGAAGTTGTTGGCTCAAAAGGTACTATAGAGTACATCCCTTTTCCAGTTCCTCACAAAGGGCTCCCGGCCCGATTCTGGGTAGAGCCCGATAACTAATAATCTCTATCAATTACTAAAGATAATTGAATAAGGACCGTGATCCGATTTTGCCCCCAAAACCCTTTTTTATTTATTTAGCAAAATGGTAAAATCTATACTAAGAACAATGTTATGGGGGCAATTTTTAATTTTCGGAAGTATGTAATTGTAGTAGTGAGTTGGGATAAGGGAAATAATTTATAATGTTATCTTTTTGTAATATTTTTGCTTGTTATTATATGATGAATAAATTAAGCTCAGTGTTTTATGGATAATGATTTAATTAGATGTGTGAAAATGACATAATTAATGAAAAGTGTGAAAAGAACATAATTAATGAGAAGTGTGAAAAGGACAAAAACTTACCGATTTTGAAAAATATTTAATGCAAATCAGACATTGACCATAATTTGACCTACTATTTTGGATAAATGTTAATTCTTATTATATAAGTATAGATAAATTAAAGTTGATGTTGTGTGTAAGAATGATTGATTGATATTATTTAATTATATCGATAATATGGACGATAGTGAGGTTGAGTTAAAATTGAATTAAAAAGAATTGTTGAGTTAAAAATGATTGGATTTTTTGGGTTGAATTTATATCAAAACATGCTCTAAAGAGTTAAAGAAGTTGACCACTGGAATCAAGTTACATCTTTACAATTGTGATAATTTTGTGGGGAGTTGAATTTTGTGGCTGGACTTGAAATTTGTGATGTGCGTGGTTCATTGTAGTATTTTGGGAGAAACTCACTTGATTAACGTATACATTTGAAAATCCGTGACTTGTCTCTTTTTCAACTAGCTAAATTAGAGCTAAGAGTTTTTTTTCGAAAAGGTTAAGGTCACATTCCTCGGTACTAATCTTTACATTTTTTTTCATCAATGCGAACCCCAGTAATTCTAAATTATGAGAGAGTTCTGAATGATGAGAACAATCATTTACCGTTATCCCTGTCTGATAACTTATGCTGAATGTTTGTAATCTGACATGGATGTTGCGTTTAAATAAATAAAAAAAAAAATAATAAATATGAGAGAGTTGCTTGAGCCTATTTTCCAGATTTCCATCGTAGGACGTGCACGCAAATTCTCGTCGATGACAAAACAAAACTCTCAAAACTCGAAATACGTAGAAAACGAGATATTTGAAGTTGAGCCACTAACAAAGAAGCACAATNATAATTTAATTATAATGAAAAAATTATAAATTATAATTTAAAATTATAATTATTTTAATTTAAAACGAAAAAATAATATATTAATAAAAAAATTTATATTAATTAATTTATTTGAAAAAAAACTAATATAATTTAAAACAAAAAAATATTATATTAATAAATAAAAAGTATATTAATTAATTTATTGGATAAAAAAATTATCAAAAGAATAATAATTACTAAATATTATTAAATTAATTAATCACTATTTAAATGGGTAAAAAATTTCACTTATTAATAATAATTAATTTCACTTAAAAAAGTTAAATAAAAGATATATTAAAAAATATATATATATTAATAATTAGTTGTATTAAAAAAATTATATATATATAAATATAGTTAAAGAATATATTAAAAAATATATATGTAATTTGTTAGCAAAAAAATATTTACTAATTATTATTTTATATTTTTGATTCAGGGTGTTAGTAGACCTAGACAATCTGCCAGGGATGACGACGACGAGGTTAATGAATATAATCAATTAGTAGTGATATTAAATAATAAATTAGTTTAAAATTGTCATTGTACTTTATTAATGTAAAATGTAACGTTTCTAAATGAGTTTTTTTTTTTATTATTATTGCAAAACATTAAGTTGAATGATCTGTAACACAAATTAAAAATGAAAAAAAAAAATATCATTGATGCGATTTTCGATTGCAGAGACAGGCTCGTTCGTGTTATAAAGCAATCGAAAATCGCATCAATGGTACTTTTTTTTTCATTTTTAAGTTGAATGGTTTTTTTTGTTTGCTAAACTTCAGTTGAATGAGTTTTTTTTTATTCGAACGTCCAATTTATAACAAATTATTTTGAATATATAACATAATAATTTATAATAATATTATTTTATAAAAAATAAAAAATAAAAAAAAAATGGGTGTCCGGCCGGTCGGGGGACAGTGAATAGTAATCCCCTTAAAATATAGGATATGCGAGAGGTTTACCTTAACTTGATCGTCAATAGAAGTAGAATGTTCCCGATTTTCGTAATCTTCGACGCCTTCATCCCTTTCATCAACAAGAGAATTATCTTCAGCATTGCTTGGAATCGTCTCTTGCTGCGCAGCAGGAGACGGATCCATGGGATCTCGATATTTTAGCACAAAGTGATACGTGATGTCTTTTGGAATTGTCAACAAGAGAATTATCTTCAGCACTGCTGGAATCGTCTCTTGCAGCACAGCACAGCAGGCGACAGATCCATGAGATCTCGATATTTTAGCACGAAGTGATACGTGATATCTTTTGGCATTATCATGAGATCTGGAGTTTTTAATTACGTAAGATCTTGTGGGGGCAAGAAAGATATGTGAGATTTGTTCGACAAGAAAGACAGCTGACATCTAGTGGTCGACATGAGGTCCCCTCTGCAATCATGAACTGGACCAGGGTTGGTAAAACAAACTCATTTACTATTCACCGCCCCCCTCTGTTACTACTTACCGTCCCCCTTGGACAATTTTGCTCTTGGCATTTTTT